AGTGAGCACAGCGAGCCAGAGGGGCTGGGAGCTGCTGCAGCTGGGCTGCCCTGCATGGGTCCCACATACCTGGCTTTGTACCCTGCAGGTTCACTCCGCCCTCAGCCCCCTACTGTTCTCAGGCTCTGAGCTGCTACCTGCCTCAGGGGCCTTCCCTGCAGACATCCCCCTGTGTCTGGTCACCAGCCTTCTCTCACCTTATATGCCAAAGGCCTTAAATGGACTCACATCTGTTGACCCAGTAAATCTATGTCAAGGAATCTGCCTAAGAACATAATTCAGACCAAGCATGAAGATTTATATAAAGATGTTTAGCACAGTGAGGTTTAAAATCATGAAACATTACTGACAATCAAAAAGACCAGCATGCTGGGCATGGTGTCTCATGCCTGTAATCCCAGCACTTTGGGAGTCTGAGGCTGGAGGATCACTTGAACCCAGGAGTTGGAAACCAGCTGGGCAACATAGCCAGACCCTCTCTTCACAAAAATTAAAAATAAATTAGCTGAGTTTAGTGGTATGTACCTGCAGTCCCAGCTACCTGGGAGGCTGATGTGGGAGGATCACTTCAGCCCAGGAGGTTGAGGCTGCCATGAGCCATGATTGTCCCACTCCAGCCTAGGCAACAGAGAGAGATCCTGTCTTAAAAAAAATAAAATAGTAAAATAATTTTTTAAAAGACCAGCACTAGGAAAACATGGTGGGCCTTGGCTCTGACTTCAGATCATAGGAACTGGAGAGAAATCTCTGAGGGGGCCTGGACATTAGCCTTTTCAATAGCTCCCCCCCCATCCCTGCCCGTGATTCTGATCGCAGGCCAGGGTTGAGAACCACGAGGATCACCTGATAGGCTCTGCTCAGCCACTGTCAATCATGTCTAAGAAGAGATTCTACGTGATATTAAAAATTCTTACACAAACTAAAAGGCAAAAAAAAATTATTAATAATTGGGATAAGGGATTGCTTTCTCAGGCATATCTCATCTGCCTAAAGAAAGTTAAAAAACCAAAACCCAAAAATGGAAAAACAAAAGAAACAAAAAATTCTAGAACCAAGATGGAAACCTGCCACCGCTGTATCTTACCCCCTGATGACAGGATTATGGGTGGTGCTTTCTCATGTCTAGTCCAGTTACTTTAAACTTTTTTTTTTTTTTTTTTTTTTAACAAAGAGTAGGTTTTTTTTTTTGAGACTGAGTCTTGCTCTGTCACCAGGCTTGAGCGCAGTGGTGTGATCTTGGCTCACTGCAACCTCCGCCTCCCGGGTTCAAGCAATTCTCCTGCCTCAGCCTCCTGAGTAACTGGGATTACAAGTGTGGGCAACCATTCCCAGCTAATTTTTGTATTTTCAGTAGAGACGGGGTTTCACCATGTTGTCCAGGATGGTCTCAATCTCCTGACTTCATGATCAGCCAACCTTGGCCTCCCAAAGTGCTGAGATTATAGGTATGAGCCACCATGCCCGGCCTGCAAAGAGCAGGTTCTATTTTTATAACCAGATAAACAACTAAAAGTGACCATGGGGAGGGCCTCAGCACCATGTTGCCTGTACCCTGGCAGGCTCACTCAAGGCACCACCCTCCCACCAACCCCACATGCAGCCAATGCCTCCTCCTATTTCTTGGACTCACATTTACTTTGGAGTCATTATTTTAAAATAATCCCGTAAACTTTTTTTTTTTTCTTTTTTTTTTTAAGAGACAGGGTTTCACTATGTTGCTCAGGCTGGAGGGCAGTGGCACAATCCTGGCTTAATGTAGCCTCAAACTTCTGGGCTGAAACGATCCTCCTGTCTCAGCCTCCCAAGTAGCTGGGACCACAGGCACGTAATACCATACCCAGCTGACTTATTTTTTGTAGAGATGAGGTCTCCCTGTGTTGCCCAAGCTGGTCTTGAATGTTCCACCATACCTGGCTGCCCCAAGCAATCTTAAATGGGGAATGTTGTTATCTCATATTTTAGAAGAGGAGAATTTACCAAAATTAAATCTATAGTTTAAAAACCATCTAGGTGACATGGTGATGACCCTGGCTTGAAGTTTGGTTGGAAAATTCCAGGCCTTCTGTTTCCTTCTCCAGCTTACAGAAGAAAGCCATTGCAGTGCAGATGAATGAGACTGAAAGCCTGACAGGTCTGCCATATTTCATTGATTCTAAGATGAAAATTACTTCCCATCATAACATTTCTGAAATCTGGATATGTCTTTTAATTGGTAGCATCCTTCAATTATAATTGGCACCACTCTTTTCCCTTTCTTAATGGTACATAAACTAATAGTACCTCTTCTAATGAATGAACGGCAGCTTACATTCAAGGACAAGTGCCATGTCTCCATCTAAACCCATCATGTTAACTCGAAGGTGACAGTTTTAATGGCTATGTAATATCCTATTGTAAGATGGACTTTAATTTATTTCACCAGTTACCTAATATGGATATTTAGTATACTCCAGTGTTTTACCATTAGGAATGCTGCTACTGTGAAGACCTTGGCATGAAGCATTCCATTTTGCTACTAGGAGCGTCTTCATCTTCTCCTAGGCTTCAAATCTTGGGAGACATTTTGGCACTTCTTTCTGTTCATCTCCATATTTCATCTATTGCTGAGTCTTGTTACTTCTTCCTTCATGGCCTCTGTTCCTGGTGGAGCCACCCAGGGCTCTCCTCTGAGTTCTCACGACACTCCTCTCACTGGTTTCTCTGCCTCCAACTCTCCTTTCAGTCCATCACTGTACTACTGCTCAAAGGTAACTTCAGTCATGTCACATTTCTGCTCAAAATCTTACACTCCTCACAGCGTAGGGTTCACTCTCTGCCAAATTTGGCTCTATCCTCTCTTGCAGCCCCACCTCCCCACCCAATCGCTCCAGACAAAATGGCCTGCTCACTGGCCACGAGGGGCCCTGCCTCCAGCACTTTGCTTCCTCAGTCACCTCTGCTTCCTACTCTAGGAAGGAATGTTTCTTTCTTTCTTTTTCTAAACCTCACTCATCACATCCAGTTCAAGTTTCATCTTCCTTATGAATGTTATGGCTCAACTGATCCTTAGGAAGGATAGGCAGGCTTATTCTTATTTCACAGGTGAAGAAACTACAGTTTAATGGATTAAGTGGCTTGCTTAACTTCGAGACAGCTAAGAAATGCAGAGCCAGGCTTTAAACTCCAGAGCTTCTGTCCTTAAACCCAGTGCCTTCAAGAGCCATGTGTAAGTACAATGAGAAACTCCCCCCATGGAGGAAACTGTGCTCAGATCCTACAGCCAGCAATCTGTCCCAAGCCTCAACTGCCTTTGATTCCAGATGCACACACATGCCAACAGGGAGATCACTGCAATAGTGAAAATACTTCAAGTCTGTCTGTCCCCAGCAACGCAAGCAAAGGATTGGGCCAGCTGTCCTATTTATTCCCATTTTAAAGAGGGGAAGACAACAGTATTTTCCTTGAATTGTGCCAGCTATCACTGCTTTGAACCTGATTGGTTTGGCTGGACCCAAGATCACGACAGGTAATCAGAGCCATGTCACTTTGAAACTAGCAGGACGCTAGTAAGAACTGGCTTTAACCTGAAGGGCTTTCGAGAAACCTAAGGGAAATGCTTCTCAGGAAGCAAACAAAGAGTGTGCAACCCTTCTGCTATGTGACCACACAGTGACGATGACACTGTCCAAAGCTCAGGCAGCCTAAAGAGTAAGGCCTAAGTGCCAGATGGATAAAAAGGAGGAGGGGGTGGTGTAGCACGCTGTTCGCTGAGCACCCACTGCCCTGGCCACTTCACACAGAGCAGGCCCTGGGTGACAGGAAACAAGGTGCTTGCTGTTACTCTTTGTGTTTTGCTTGAATACATGATGGAGTTAGAGCAGTAAAGACACTTACCAATGTGTAATTGCAGCTTATGAGGAAGTGTGACCCCTGCTCACACTCAGAATTTCTACAGACCATGAATCTCCTCACATCCCCTCATCTTTTGTCATTTGATATAATTAAATGCTACGGGTTAAAGTAAAAATAGAAACAAACAGCCCCCACCTGTGGGCAGTGCAGCCAGAGCGGTCCCTCACACCTGACTCCGACTCTGACTAGGCTGGGTGTGACAGTGTCACTGACCCGCTCAAGAAGGAGGCAGCCCTGCACTCCTGGGAGAACAGGCCTGTCAGCAAGTTTGCCCTCCAACGTTCTCCCCTCTACAGGGTGACCCAGGTCCCTAGGCCAATTCCTGCATTCTCCTTAGCCAGAAGGCCAAGAGGCTGAGGAGAGAAACGGCAAAGAAGAACTTCTCTCGGAAGCTAAGAGGACTGCTCCTGTCCTAGGGTTCAGAGAAGACTGGTGTCTTCACATCCTTGCAATCACGAGTCAACTCATGAGACAGGCGGGGGACACGAATGAATCAACAAGGCCCAGAAAGGGGGAAGGGTCAGAGGTGGGCAGTGTCACTTCCTGGTCCTCACTGTGGTCACTTACAACAAGACCACTTGCAGGAGCCATCAGGTGTGAAGCCCAGGAAGCTCTGCTTTCTCAGGCACGGAGGAGAGGCCCCTTGAAAGAACAGGGGCGGCGAGGTCCAGTAGGAAAGCAAGGGCTCTGGGACCATCTGGCTCTTCTGTGCTACATCGTTTCTCTTCCCTGAGTCTTGGTTTCCTCATTTGTAAAGTGGAACTGACCATCGCGATTGCACAGGTGCACCGTGAAGCCCCAGTGACGGCAGGTGAGTGTGAGGGGCCTGGCGCTGTATCTGACAGGCGGTTGGGGCTTACTGTCCAGGGTGGCGCACGGGGCAAGGCCTTAACAGCCACCAGAGCAGCGAGAGTCTCACACATGATAGCACAGCCTCCTTGTGCTTAGAGGTATGGCAATGGGAGTACACCGTCCCCCACCACCAACACACACAATCTCTTCTAGGTGAGCCCGAAAAGCAGAATAATCATGGCATTTCTTGTGTCCCCCGAGGTATGCTTCTCAGCCCTGACCAAACACAGGTTCTCTGACACGCCGAGGCTACTCACCGGCTCGATTTTCAGAGCATTTCGGTAGCTACCGAAGAAAGCGGCCTGGGCCTTGAGGAACGCTCTGGCCACACCATCCCCAGTGGTTGTGGAGACCTTCTTCAGCCTGTTCTTCAGTGAAGAGATCTGGTGATGAAGAGAAAGAAAACACAGGTTGAGGACAAGGTCAAAGAGGGGTAGCTGACTAAGCCCAGTACATATGGAGCCCTGGAAAATCCTACAAATGGCAGGATCCATTTGATAGCTCGGTTACTGGGAGGACAAAAACATGTTCACGCTGCGTGCAGTGGTGCGTGCCTGCAATCCCAGCTACCTGGGAGGCTGAGGCACGAGAATCTCTTGGACCTGGGAAGCGGAGGCTGCAGTGAGAGATCGCGCCACTGCGCTCTAGCCTGGGTGACGGAACGAGACTCAGTCTCAAAAAAAAATCTGTTCAAAATTAGGGCATGTTTTTGAAATTTAAACAAATGTTGTTCCTATTAGAACACGTCTAATAAAAACAAAAACAATTTTTAATGACTTACTCCATGCCAGGTAAGCACTTTTGCATTCATTTTACAATTTAGTGACTTTAACAATCTGGTGAGGAAGGGATTAATGCTTCCATCTTACAAGGGTGAAACAGCCTCAGGGAGGTTAGGCTACATACCTAGGAACAAACTCAAGACATGGCCGCATTTCCGTCAGTCTTGTAGTCTGAGCCCAAACTCAGTGAGTTCCCATTTTATCCCTCTTAGAACTACTTACAAACATTAGAATAAAGGCTTATTTACATTTCTCACACATCATACTCTAAAGGAAGTGTGGCAGCTTCTATTAATAGACACATACTCAAGAGGTTAAAACAAAGACAAGGAGGTGATGGTAATGGGAAAAGAAGCAGGTAACAGATTTGGTATATAAATGTGAGCCATAAGGTCTTATATGGTGGCTAAAAATGGGCTTGAATTTGACTTAAAAGTCTCCTAGCAGCCAAAGCAAAGGGGGAAATCTGAAGGTTGTGAGATTTTACAGGTCCATATACTACAAAGGAACCAGCTAGGAAAGACAAAACTGGGGATAAAATAGAAAATTAGATTTAGGTGGTCCATGAATCCTTTGCAGATTTTTAGTATGAATGAGTGTGAGTAAAGATTATTTTTCTGGGCACAGAATCCACTGCGTACTAAGTATGGGGAATGGTATGCAAAGGCCCTGCAGCAAAGAGTTCAGGGAACAGAAAGAACCCTGGCTTCAGTGGAGAAAATGAGGGGAATATGGCTTGAAATGAGGCTGGAGAGAAAGGCAGGGGCTCGAAGGGATTTTTTTGCTTCATCTTGAGAGAGAAACAGAAAACTAATGATTGGTTTTAAGCATGCAGGTAACATATTAAGAGCACATTTCACGGAAACTAATTCTGTGAGAGACCAGCTACTGGTATGACACTATTTAAAGACAAAACTTGGGATAAAATAGAAAATTAGATTTAGGTGGTCCAGGAATCCTTTGCAGATTTTTAGTGTGAATGAGTGTGAGTAAAGATTACTTTTCTGGGCACAGGATCCACAGCTTTCCTCAGATTCTTAAAGGTGCCTATGACGCTAGAAATATTAAGAATCACTTGCTGAGAAGCCTGGGGCAAAAAATCTTATCTGGGAAGGACTAGATATACTTTAGAAATGATCCATGCACATTATGTCTTGTTTCCAAGCTTCTGATAAGAAAAATTTTTGATAGCTTATTGAGATTTATTTCACATATAAAATTCATTCATTTAAAGTATATAGTTTGGTGGTTTTTAGTAGTCACAAGATTGTACAACTAACTACTGCTAACTTCAGAACACTTTTATCATCCCCAAAAGAAACCTCATACTCATTAGCTGTCACTCGCCATTCCCTGCCAATCCTACCTCACACCAGACCCCAGCAACCACTCACCTTCCTTCTGTTTCTACAGGTTTGTCTACTCTGGGTATTTCATACAAATGGAATTGACAATAAGTAGTCTTTTGCCATCAGATTATTTCCCTCAGCACAGTGCTTTACGAACAAGGTTCATCCATGTTGAAGCATGTGTCAGGACTTCATACTTTTTATGGCTAAATAATATCCCACTGTATGGACAGACCACATTTTATCGATCTGTTCATCAGCAGATAGCCATTTGGGCTGTTTCTACTCTCGGCTGCTATGAAGATTCATGTATAAGCTTTAGTGTGGAGACAACAGAGATTCTGAAGTGACAATATGAAAAGCAAAAATCCTCTGCCAAACATTATGCAATGAAAACAAGCTGGAAGGATACACAAAGTCACCAAGCACAGTGCTCAGTGCATAGGAAGCCATTAATAAATATGAACTGAGTACAGGGAAAAAATTCTATACTGTTGGTAAAGGGCATGCCTCACGTTTGGACAGTAAGCTGTGTAAAGATGGGACTGATGTCCTCCTCTGTTAAGTCAGAAGCCATGGGGACGTGCCCAGCACTTTGGGAGGCCATGGCAGGAGGATCGCTTGAGGCCAGGAGTTCAAGACCATCCTGGGCAACACAGTGAGATCCCATCTCTATAAAAAATATAAGAAGATCTAGGCAGCCATGGTGACACATGTCTGTAGTCTCAGCTACTTAGAAAGCTGATATGGGAGGATTGATTAAGCTCAGTAGTTTGAGGTTGCAATGAGCTATGATTGCATCATGGCATTGCAGCCTGGGTAACAAAGCAAGACCCTATCTCTAAAAATAAAAAGCCCTGGGAACACACACTGAAGGAGTAGCTACCCCACCTCTACTCCAAGAGGGAACCATGGAAAACCATCTCCCTTTGGAAGCAGTTTGAAGTCTATCTCAACATCTGGGTATCTATAACTGGTTTATACAACCTTTCCTCATCAGGGACACGTGAGCCCCAGCCCCACAGTGGTGAGAGCCCCTGAGGAGCAAGGTCACTGAGCACCCAGGCTGACTGCCATGGACTTTCAACTCCAAAGAGAAGTATGAAAAAGAAGCATCCTCTATTAAAATGCTAAAAATACTACCTACTCTCTGCCCCTGCCCCCAAAATAATAATAAAAATCCTGCCCCTCCCAGGGACTGCAGTGACATTTCCATCCTTTGAAATGGTGCAAGCCACTGTCGCTCTCCTTCTGGCTCCTCAAAGGCCTTGGGCCACCTGTGCCGCAGATTATTCCTCACTTAACCTTCCCTGGCCTTTCTCTTTCATTCGGGAGGTGTTTAATTACCTTGGATTCACAACGCTGCACTTCAGGTGAGCCTCTCCTAATGGCCTCATTACCATTTTACACAAAGAGGGAGTCGCTGATTGTAACTGAGCAAATACGAGTGTATTCCTTCCTGCCTGCCCCAGCTGGTCTGAAACTAGCCAAGTGGTCCTGGGCTCCTGATGCCCCTGTGACCACTTGGGCCAGGACTTCTGAAGACCTCCTCTCACCCTGCAACATGGAGAAGCTTTTCTCTTGACCTGCCAGCACCTCAAAACTTTGAAACCGCAAGTATCTGCGCATCTCATCGCTGGGGGGTAGCATTTGTCCTTTAAATAAAAGTGAGGGAAGAAAATTTAAGGATTGAATAACAGAGTCATATATCTAAAGCTGAACTTGCCCTCAGTACCCCTAGGGATGCTGGTCAAATCATTAACACTGGGGTTCATCAGGGGTAATTTGGGTGTGTTGTAAGTGCTGGTGAGGATGGCTTCCTTCTCTAATCAGGTGTCACAGGAGGAAGACAAAGCAAAGAGAGGACAAAACTGAACTCGCCAGTTCCTGTCTAAAGTGCCCTTTCCCCTCTGTTGCCATCTTGGTTACTGCAGCATCATCCAGCCAGTCTCCTGGGCCAGATGTCAGATGTCAGATTCTCTACTTCTCCCTCCTTTCCCACGAATATTCTCCTCATCTCATCACCACCAACTCAGGTAGGTCCTGAATCTGGCCTTTCCTCTCAGTGACATGATGTTCAACTCCATCACCCTCTCTGGCCCAGACTAGTGGAACAGTTTCCTCGGTGGGCTTTCCTCTGCTTTCAGTTTCTCCTTGATGCCATCCACCCGTATCTGTCCCAGTAATCTTGGAAAAATCCAAATCTAATCGCTTTGATCCTCCATCAAAACCCTTCAGTGCCCCCGGCTCTTCACCATCATTGCCTTCAAAAAACATCTAAACTTCCACGAGTGTTGTCCTCAGTCAGCCTTGCTTCCATCCACTTAATGTTAAACTTGGATATCCAGAAGCACAGGCTACTCTCCAGCCCGTTCCCACCTCAGTAACTCAGTCCTGGTTGTCTCTTGCCCCTTTCTGTCCTGCTTGTGAACATCTATTCAACTTTTGAAAGACCATCCAAGTCTCCATCAATGGCGGCCTCTGAAATACACTATCCCACATCCTCACCAGGAAATATCGCGTAGCTGCTAAAAAGGACACGGCGGTACTCTACCAACTGACACAAAAAGATGTCCATGAAATACTGTCGAGTGGGGAAAAAACATGCAAGTTTCAGAGTAACACGTACAGCATGAATCATTTAAAACTATATATAAATATATATGCAGTAAAAATCTAAAATGCTACATTACCAAACTTGAACCATGCATGGATGCTTTCACTTTCTATTTTACACACTTGATTGTTTTGATTATCCTTTATAAAAAAGCATATGTTACTTTTATAATAAAGAATTAAAATGAGGTATTTTTCTTTAATAGTCAAATTACCCACTGCCTTGGGTTAAGGGAAAGAGGGAATCCAGATGTCCCCCAATCTGTGAAGCATGCCCTGACCACTAAGTCTGGGCCTCCTTGGACTGAGCAGGTGGTTCCATGGTGAGCTGCAGTTTCTACCTCCTTTCCTGATGGACTGAGTTCCCCGCAGGGCCAGCCGCCAGCACAGTTCTTGGCTCAGTGTACTCATGCAGCACTTTCTGCTGAATGAAAGAATGAATGAGCAAGTGTTTGACATTGTGAAAGGCATTTTCAGAATGGCTGAGCCTCTCTGCTTGGAGGAAAGTCTAGGATCACATTCTTTAGTGATAGATCATTAGAAGAAACTGGTCTCTGCTGGAAAGGATGGGAGGAGAAAGTGATATTCATTCCCCTTTTGCAGAAAGTCATTGCTAAGACACAACCACAATGGCAG